TCGGGGTGGGGTGGGGGAGGGCGTGGCAGGGATGCCCAACATTGGTGCTCCCGTCTCATCTCAAAGAGTCAGATCTTTATTTGTGTCCCAAACTAGTTCCAGGAAGAATTAAGTCACAAGTCTGAAAATTAAACGAAGCGTTACAATTAGGGATAAAAACAGACCAGAGACCATCTAAAGCAATCAGACACTCTGGAGGTAAGCTAATTACAATAACTGAGCACTGAATTTAGTTCCAACTTTTAGACATCTGGGCAGGGCAGCAATTAGGGTGAGATGAGCGAGGCATTCTCTTCAAATGCTAAATGTAAGGAGGGGAGCAGCCAAAATCCTGTCATCAAGACAAATAATATGTTAATACAATATTTCTAAAAATCTGTATAAACGACAAAAAAAATCCAATGTACAAAATGTCAAAAATTTAAAATTACATGCAACATGTACTTAGGAGCAGTTTTCTGTTTGGCCTCAGTTCCACAATGGAACTCCGCACAATATGGTTGAATCTGGTCTTTAAGGTTTGAAATTTTGTTCATCATGCAATTTTCTTGCATTAATTTTGATCTTAAAAATATTGTGTTAACGGGTTATCTTAATTACAGTGTTTTTGGCGTCCTTTTTAATTTTCCAAGATGAGTGCATCACTTTGCCTCACCCTAGTCCCAGGCCTGACAGGTCCCTCTCACTAGGGAGCCTGAGAATCACTCAAGAGGTCCCCTGGCCGGCAACCCTTTGCCAGGCACATGCCTTGAACGTCCTGGTGCGAGCCTGGCAGACACGCAACACACAGCCCCACCCCTTGGCTGACACTCTGTGGCTCTTCCCCTGAGTCTAGCACCAGCCTCCCCATCCTTCTCAACACAGTGCTCCCCGAAGCAACATCTACTGATCAGAAACAGCAGGTAAGACAAACCCTTATAAAGACCTGCGAAATCATCTCTAACAGGGACAACTGACACAAGATTGTAGGGATGAGACAGAAGGAAAGTTCCAGGTCCAAATCTAATTCTAGGCTGACGGATAAAGGTACGGAGCTTGGACAGAGCCGTCAATTGAAGGAGCCAGAAACTCGAGGCCAGGGCTGTCAGATAGAATTTTCTGCAATAATAGAAGTGTTCTGCATTTGCATGGGACAATGCTATAACCACTAACCACATGTGGCTCTTGAGCACTTGAAATGTGGCTAGTGCAACCGAGGAACTGATTTCTTAAATTTATTTAATTCTGATTCTATTTAAATTTAAATGGGCTAAGGGCTACTGTATTACAGTGCAGTTCTAGATCAGCGATTCTCAAATTTAACCTGCAGTAGAATCATCAGCAGGGCATGTTAAAGCCGATTGCTGAGCTCATCTGAGTACCTGACTCAGGAAGTCTGGCATGGGGTTGTCAGCTTACATTTCTAACAAGTATCCAGGTAATGCTGATGCTTCTGGTCTGGGCATACCTTGAGGACCACTGAGCTAAACAGTATTCTAATTCCACATAATTGTTAGATATTGAACAAATCACCTTATGTGTAGGTGTTGTCTTTCTTGCAAAATGGTAGCCTAGACTTTGATATGGATATGGATTCAAATCCCTGCTCCTCCAAAATTAGCTATATGAGCTTTATTTCATTTCCCACTTCTATATACAGTTGACCCTTGAACAATGAAGGGGATTAGGGGCACCAATAACCCTCCCCAACCTCCCCTACATAGTTGAAAGTCTGCGTTTAACTTTTGACTTCCCCAAAACTTCACTAATAGCCTACTGTTGACCAGAGGCCTTACTGATAACATTGTCAATTAACACCTGTTTTGTAAATTATATGTATTATATACTGTATTCTTACAACAAAGTAAGCTAGAAAAAAGAAAATTTTATTAAGAAAACCATAAGAGAAAATACATTTACAGTACTGTATTTATAAAAAAAAATCCACATGTAAGTGGGCCTGTGCAGTTCAAATCTGTGTTAGTCAAGAGTTAACTGTAATATTAGTTAACAACTTCTCCCTCTCCGCTCCATCCACAAAATGGAAATTATAGTACACACCAAATAGGGTAATTACAAAGATTAAATGGGATAAGGTATATATGCCATTCAATATAAGTTGTTAAGATCATGTCCTGCTCAGAAAATGTATTAAATGAGATTATATATGTGAACATGTCATTTGTAGCACAAGAAATACACATTTCCACAAAATCGTTCTGTCAAGATTACCCAGTGCCGCAGGCACCTGGGTGGCTCAGTTGGTTAAGCGTCTGCCTTTGGCTCAGGTCATGATCCCAGGGTCCTGGGATCGAGTCCCGCATCAGGCTCTCCCTCTTCCCACTGCCTGCCACTCCCCCTGTTTGTGCTCTCTCTGTCAAATAAATAATATATATAAAATCTTTAAAAAGAAAAAAAGATTACCCAGTGCCAGTACATCAGTTTCCTATTGCTGCATATAACAAATTGCCCAAAAATGTAGCAATTTAAAACAACAAATACTTATTATCTCAGTTTTTGTGGGTCAGACGTGTGGGCATGGCTTAGCTGGGTACCTCTGATTTTAACATCTCTCGGGAGGGTGCAGTAAAGCTACCAGGGCTGCAGTCTCATCTGAAGGCTCAACTGGAGGGCTAAGGAATCCACTTCTTTTGTTTTGTTTTGTTGTTTGTAAGACATATGTATATTTTGGGGCACCCAGGTGGCTCAGTTGGTTGGGCATCCGACTCTTGATTTCGGCTCAGGTTGTGATCTCAGGGTCATGGGATTGAGCCCTGTGTCAGGCTCCACGTTCAGTGGGGAGTCTGCTTCTCTCTCTCTCTCTCTCTCCCTCTCCCTCTGCCCCTCCCCCCAACTCGCTTGCTCTCTCTCTCAAATAATCTTTAAAAAAAATTTAAAAAATAAAAATGGTTAAACTAGTAAAATGTATATATATATATATTTTAAAAAGATTAATTTATTTTAGAGAGTGGGGGGAGGGACAGAGGGAGAAGGAGAGAGAGTCTTAAGCAGACTCCCCACTGAGCGTAGAGCCCATCGCGGGGCTCAATCCCATGACCCTGAGATCACGACCTGAGCCGAAACCAAGAGTCAGATGTTTAACCGACTGAGCCACCCAGGTGCCCCTAGTTTAACCATTTTTTAAAAAGATTTATTTATCTTAGCACACGGAGGGGAGGGGCAGAGGGAGAGAGAGTCTTAGGCAGACTCCCTGCTGAGCACAGAGCCCAACACAGGGCTTGATCCCAAAACCCTGAGATCACAACCTGAGCCGAAACCAAGAGTTGGACGCTTAACCAACTGCACCACCCAGGCGTCCCTAACCATTTTTAAATGTATAGTTCTGTGTCATTAAGTACATTATGTGCATTAAGTACATTCACATTGTTTGCAACCATCACCACCATCCATCTTCAAAATTTTTCCTTTTCTCCAACTGAAACTCTGTACCCATTTGATACTAACTCCCATCCCCGCCCCACCCCCAAGCTCCTGGCAACTATCATGCTACTCTGTTTCTATGAATTTGACTCTTCTATGTACCTCATACAAGTGGAATCATACAACATTTGTCTTTTTGTGACTTGCTTATTTCACTAAACGAAACGTCCTCAAGATTCATCCATGCTATAAACGTGTCAGAATTTCTTTCCTTGTTATGGCCACATAGTACTCCATTGCTATGTATACACATTTGCTTATTCACTGCTTCCACCTTCTGGGTCTGACCCCACCCATCGTAGCCTTCTCAACACTGGCCCCTCAGCGGATGCGCCTCATTCCAGGCTTAGTCCTGGGGAAGCCACACCTGCTCCAGGGATGAGCCTCACTAGCCCGAGGATCTGCCCAGAGCTTCCCCACATTCAGGGACTGTCCGCATTCTGGTCCTATCCACTTATCTTTTCATCCAGGCTCTACTGCTCTTCTGTGTCTCAGGCTAGGATGCCACTTTCTTTGGAGGACAGAGTCACTTCCCATAAATGATCCCAGCAGGTAATGGGATGCTTTGAACCAAAACATAGACGCCCCCATATACATTGCTATGTTATACCACCAATAGCTCCCCTCCCATACCCCATATTTGACCACTTAATACCCAATATTGCATTAAGTACTTCAGCATTTCAAAAATTATAACCCAGCTGCCTGTTTTAAACAATAACTTCCATTCTGCAGATGAGAAAACTGAGATTCAGAAAGGTTAAGAGAACTGCCCGGGGCCACACAGCTAGAAGGGGACAGTGACAGAAGAACTCCATCCAGTTACCATTGAGTTTCCAGGATGTCACGAGTGGTTTGTGGGCTTTTTTCAGGCCGAGAGCCAAGTGGGATAAGCATGGTTTAGAGGGAATCGTTCTGTTCTGCTCTGCAATCACCCGACGTAACTCCTCTCCCAGGGCACAGAACCACAGTCCACTGCATAGGACAGACCAAGCACAGGGCTTGAAATGCCTGGGACCCCTCAGTCCTGTGGCACCAAATGGCCCCATCTCCCTCGCCTCCACCGATAAACCAGAGGAAGACCTCTGACTCAAGTGAAGCTACTGAGGTGTCCCTCGTAGGTGTTCGGAACTGGGACATTAAAAAGCAAAGGGACGCCGATGGTGGAGCTGTAAGGTCCTATAGAGATGGGGCTGCAGGTGGTGGCCTGGCGAGTCAGTTACGCGGGAAGCAAGGACGTTATCTTGAGAGGTAGGATAGCGGCATACCGGTCAGGTGCCCAGACTGTGGAAGCAGTCTGCCTGGTGTGAATCATCGATCCCATTTTTCTCATCTGTGAAACGGGGAAGCGAACAGTCCTCGCTGCTCCCATGAATGAGTGAACACACACCTCCGAGTCCACAGCACAGGCGTACAACACACACTAGCAACCACCAGCTGGCGTGAGTCCAGACGCAAGAAGGCACGGCGGCCTCAGAGACCCCCAGGCGGAGCAGCTGCCCGTGACTTTCCAGTTCCCAGTAGGTGGCCTCACACCAAAATACTTTTAAATTTAAAAATCGTACACCATGTTTATTTGGAAACTTTATTCTTTTTATTGCAAATTTCTGGTAAAGGAAAGAACACGGAAGCTGATCCTCGTTTACTTTGGTCATAAGAGTGCGCTGTGGCTCAGTGGCTTCCAACCTGAGCGGCCTCTGAATCGCCCGGGGGCCTTTGATGCCTACAGATGCCTGGGTCCCATCTCCCAGAGGTTCTGGCTCTGCTGGCCTAGGGCACAGCCCGGGCATCAGTAGCTCTTTGAACGCCCTGGGCGGTTCCAGCATGTTGCCAGGGTGGAGAACCCTTGCCAGAGCTCATGACATGAGGTTGGCAGCATCAGAAGCACCTGAGCAATTTCAGCGGACAGCCAGCCGTCACCTGCTCATGTCAGCCCTCAACCTGAGTCCAGCTGGCCTGTCTCCCCCTCTCCCCACGTGCCTCATGCGCGGACTCTTCCTCCTCCAGAGGCCACAGAGGAGAGACGCTGGAGGGGGCATAGTTCTCTGTGCTGTGGCTTGTGCTTCAGCAGGGAAAACTGTACTAGATGTGCTTACTCTATCACAAAAAGAAACCCACTTTCTGATTGCAAAAGAGCATTCACCTTTGTTTTTTCATTGTTAAGTGGAAATCATCTTCCTATATACTGACGCAAAGATTTGTGACAAAATTGAGGAACTACGTGTTGGATGACACATTCCTTATGTGATTTCTCAGGTCCAAATTTTTAAAGAATTTTTGTCCAGCCATTGAAGGTAAAATACTATGAACTTCAGCAGCATATTTTACATGGGTAAACAGTAATAGCCAGTCACATATTTCATTTATGATTTATCCTAAAAATAGAAAATGTTTTAATTTTCCTGAGTCCTTGGCAAACAAAAAACAATTTTTTAAAAAATTTTAAAGAATTGTTTTCCTTTTCCTGGGCACCCTCACAGTTTAGAACAGTGTGCGTCTCACCATTGGTTTGTACAAACACAGGTGAACAATTTCACTGGTGCCAATTTTCAATGACTAATCAAATATGGCGATTGAAAAGAAAACACCCATCAACTACAAAGCTGCTCAAAATGAAAGTTTCTTGACAGTGTTATAAATGCAATATCAATTTGATTCTCTGTCCATACAAAAGTATGAATTTCTATTTCATTAATACTACTGAATGATTAATGTCTTACCAGTGATAAAATTTTTAGAACATTTAAAAATTACATAGGATCCCATTTTTACATCATAATTCTGATGTATTATCATGCCTTCTATTTTGTCCGTAAAACTTTTAGAGGATACAGTGCATTGACGTGGTAAAACCAAGGCACAAGAATACAGTTACAATAAGTGTGTATAAACCTTAGTTAGCACTTTGTGCCAATTTTGGAAACATTTAGAGAGGAGATCATAAAGCCTGAAAAATTCTCACATCCTATTATAATTAACAATTAATTGTGCAATAAACAGACTATTAACCACCATTCCATTATTAAATATATGGCTATCACTATACAGGCTGTGGATAATTGAAAAAAGTTTTCAATATTAAAACCTGGTATAAGTAGGTGGTCGATGTGGATATGGTGCCTTGCATTATCTAGATAACTGTCTTAAGTTTCCACTTTAATTTGCAATGTATATGGCAGTTATCAATCTTCAAGCTATTTTCATTACATAAATGGTGGCAGGGGTGGTTTTCCAAAAGTTAAATCCCTTCTCCCTACAAAAGACAGAAGATTTACAAGATAACCATATAAGAAATGCACAGATAACAATAATAAAATCCAAATATGGACTAAAAGGTTGAATTCTAGTCTACCAGGACATTCTCTTAATTTAGGGTGAGGAGCAACACATTCCTGTGACAATTCATTAGTTTCTTAATTAAAAAAAAAAATCACCATGACATTTTTCAAAATAGTGAAGTCTTGGCTAGAGCGTCAAGCATTGAAGGAAAGTCGTTAAGTCTTTTCATTCATAAAATGAAGGGGATAAAAGCTTTTCCAAATCTAGGGGCAGGGAGGATATTCCATCAAATTTAGAGAAATGGAATAAATTGGTAAAAATTGTACTTAATACTTTTAAAGAAAGTGTTTTTGAGACTCAAGGTAAACATTCAGACCCATGAAAACACATTGCTTGGCACATGCACGCCATGAATAGAACACTCCTGAATGTGGTGACAGCCTAGCTACAGAGGTATCCAGCTCTCGGCCCACTGGCAGAACCACTTGTGAGGTCCTTGTCCCAGCTCCCTTCACATGGGAGCCTCTGGCTTCTGCATCTGCTGGATTTGCTTCTGCAGCTGGTCCTTGTCCAACTTCATCTTGGCTTCAAGAACTTGCCTGAGGGATCCTATGCTTTCATAGATGGCTGTAAACCCTTTAAGAAGAGGTAAATTTTACAAGAGTTAATATTAAAAAACAATGCTGTGTCAAATTCTACAGCATATAGTAACAGTTGATTTGGGCAAAAATTATCAATAGATGCTAAAACTACTAGAGTAAAAGTTTGAGAGGGAACAGGATAGTTACACAGTTTTATAGTATCTCCCTACAGATTACTTTCTAATTACAAAGGGAAAAGGGAACTATCACAATGGAGAAATCTGGCAGATACCACTTTAACCAAGGGATCGGAGGTAACGTCACTAATACCAGGAGAAACCAACATCATGTAAGGTTCCCTGACACGTGAGGGACACACCGCTTCTGTGACATTTCTGTCCAAAATGTACAACCTGAATCTAATTAAGAGGAAGCAAACAGACCCAAACTGACATTCTACAAAATACTGGCCTGTATTCTTTAATGACGTAACATCACCAAGGAACTGCTCCATATTAAAAGACACTAAATAAAGAAACATGGTAACTATGCTGTATGATTCTGGAACAGAAACTAGACCAGGGAACGTCTGCTATAATGGAAATAATGGTGAAAGTGAAAATTGAAAAATGAAAAAATTTTCATTAATATTTCATTGGACTATACTTATTTAAGAGAATGTTCCTGTCCTTAGGGTATATAGATTGAAGTAATAAACGAGTAAAAAGGCATCATGACTTCTGCAACTTATTCCCAAATGACTTAGAGAAAAAAACTATATTTACACACACACACACACACACTCCCATCACACAATGAGATTAAGAAAATTTCCAAAATGTTAACAATTGGTTAGTCTCTATTAAAGATGTATAGCATTTTTGGACTATTCTTACAGTTTTTCTAAACTTGAAATAATTTCAAAATAAAAAGCAAAACAAAAGAAAAAATTCCCCATCAAAAAAGCATTTCCTATTCTCTATTTCTATGGGTTTTTAAAATAGATGTTTAAAAGGTCTCATCTTTATTAGTAAATTTAGAATTTTCTCTCAGGGGCATCTGGGTAGCTCACTTGGTCAGCTGAGTGTCCAACTTTGGATTTCAGCTCAGGTGATGCTCTCAGGGTCATGGGATCAAGACCAGTGCTGGGCTCTGTGTTCAGCGCAGAGTCTGCTCGAGAGTCTCTCCCTCTGCCCCTCCCACTCATGTTCTCATGCTCTCTCTCTCTCTCTCTCTCGCTTGCTTTAAAAATAAATAAATAAATCTTTAGGGGGGAAAAAAGAATTTTCTCCCAGAAAATTTTCTCTATTGGCAATTCATGTCATATAAGGAATAAATATTACTTATTAAAAATAACATTCTTATTGAATAGAAAGATACAACATGTAAAAGTAGGTGACAAATCAGCATGTATGGCATGAGCTTTCATTCAAAAAAAGCACATAATATGTATAAAATGATATATATAAAGATGACTTCTGGGTGAAAGACGTTATGAGGATTTAAAAACTATTTTGTGCTTTCTTATTTTCCATTAAGAAATACACTGTTTTTGGAATAAGAAAAAGTAAATCTTTTTATTTTTAAAAAGCTCATATGCCCTTCTTATTAGGTACTGAATATTAACCACCTCAGTGGCATGTTGAATAAAAGAGAATAAACTGCCCCAGGGAATGATGCAAAGTTAAACACTGATGAAATTTTCACATACCATATTCTAATAGCCCCCAAGACAAAGAAAGAAAATTCATTTTTATTGTCACAAGTTCTTCAATGCATAAATTTAACTGTGACTTCTACTTATTTTTTTTTTTATTTAGTCATTTGTCAGAGAGAAAGAGTGCGCAAGCAGGGGGAGTGGCAGGCGGAGGGAGAAGCAGGCTCCCCGCTGAGCAGGGAGCCTGATGCGGGACTCGATCCCAGGACCCCGAGATCATGACCCGAGCCGAAGGCAGGTGTTTAACTGACTGAGCCACCCAGGCGCCCCTGTGACTTCTACTTAAATAAAATAATAAGCTTTTGGTAGTGACAACAAAACTATTCTTGAGATAACAAACTACTTTTATTTCCATCTTGGCCAAAGTAGATTCTGCAGAAGAAAATTATGGAATCACAGAACTGGAAGGAGCTAGGAGATAATGCAGTGCCCCTCGTCACACTGTAAGACTGTCTTGTCTTTCCCGACCATAACCAACCAGCCTCCACTTGAATACGTTCAGTCACAAAGAGTTCTCAGGCTCACAAAGCCACCAGTGTCTTTTTAGGACCTGTTACCTGAGGATACTCCTGCCTCATGTTGAGTTAGAATCTGTCTTCAAGTAACTTCCACATACTGGTTCCAGGACTGTATTCCTAAGCTCACAGTGTAAGTCCGTCTAGCCCCTCCTTTATATGCGACAGTACTTGAGACCTGGAAATCAGCTTTACCACTTTCTTCTAAACAAATGTGAATTAATGGGCCCTGTTGACTTCTGAGAGGAGGAAAATCATTCGCTGCCATGGTAGCATACTGCCTGAGGTAAAAAATAAGCCTTCAAAAGCCGCTCCAAGATAGAGGTTCATTTCTGAGGCATACTAATCATGGCTATGAACATTAACGAACCCACAGATGGCACTAAAGAAAGTGCACATCAGTTGCAAACTGAGCAATTTTCGTTTGTGTGCCCGTCTCTCATGATGGCTTTCCATGTACTTGGAATTGAAACAACACTTTAGTTCAATACAGTACAGCTACTTAGAAAATCACCTAAGGACATTTCACTGTGATTACCGTTAGCTGGGTTCACAGGGTGTTGCAGGGGGATGCTCATTAATTGGTTTTCAGATCCCACTGAAAATAACCCATGAGTGGGAGTCCAAGTCCAAACTGTGGGACCCTCAGTTTCGTCTGGTCACAGGAATTCAGCTAGCTAGCTATCAAAACATTCTGAACACCTGCAAACTCAACCAGAGAGCTAAGAAAAGAATACCTGCAACTCTACAAATAGAAAAGTGACCACTTTTTGCAAGATAGGAGGTGTGGAGAAGTGAATCCAAGGCGACATATGGGAAGATAGACCGCAGGGGGAGGGAGCCTCCATCAGCCAGCTACTGGCAAGTGATAGAGCAGCGGAGCACAAAAACGGAACTTTTAGAAGTCTGCTCTGGTGAGGGATGTCCCTGCCTGAAAGGCACTCAGGTGGGGGACAGTGTGGTCTCAGGATCCCTGGGGTCACAGAAAGAACAGGGGTGCCTGAGTGCAGCAGAGCTCCCAGGCATCAGAGCGGGGAAGCCGGCTGCAATCAGCGAGGCCAGGAGTGGGCTCTCAGCTTGGGGTTGCCATAAACCATGAACCGTGGCACAGCTGGGCAACTGCTCTCCAAGCAGGGACCAGGAAGTAGTGAACAGAGGTGAGACCCCTCTTCCTTCAGTGGGAGAAGCGGCGCGGGTGCACGCCACAGGGGTTTGCAGGGTTCAGAGACTGGAAATGGGGTCATGTGCCTGAGATAGAAAGGCTCAGTCACAGGCTGGGGGAGCACAGAGAGCAGATGGAGACCAGGGAGATAGGAGTGATCGACTGCTTTTCCCTGCAGGCCCACTGAGGAGTGGGGCCCTGAGCTTCCAGTTACAGGGCTGGAGATTGGAGGCTGCCATTTTCATTCTCATTCTCTAAAGCTGCACAGAAAGCCTTCAGGGAGCAAAAGCCACAGAGAGTAAACAGGAGCAGATTACTTAGTCCAGCCCCTGCCAAGGGCGGTACAATTCCAGCTGGGGCAAAGACACCTGAGAATCAGCATAACAGGCCCCTCCCCCGGAAGATCAGCAAGAACATCCGGCTAAAACCAAGTTTACTGATCATAGAGAACGGCAAAACTCCAGTGCTGGGGGAATATAGTATATAGAATTCATTATTTTTTTCCCCATGAGTCTCTAGTCTTTCAATTTTAATTTTTTTTCCTCTTTCCTTTTTCAACCAATTTCTTATTTTTTTAAGATTTTATTTATTTTCTTTCTTTTCTTTTCTTTCTTTCTTCCTTTCTTCTTTCTTTCTTTCTTTCTTTACTTGTCACAGAGAGAGAGAGAGAGAGAGAGAGAGAGCAAGCACAAAGGAGGCAGCAGGCAGTGGGAGAAACAGGCTTCCCGCTGAGCAAGGAGCCCAATGCGGGACTCGATCCCAGGACCCTGGGATCATGACCTGAGCTGAAGGCAGACACTTAACCGACTGAGACACCCAGGCATCCCAACCAATTTCTTATTTTATCAACTCTTTTTTAATCTTTTTTAATTTTCATTTTTACAGTTACATTTTATCCTTTCATTGTATTTAATTTTATTTTTGTATATATATGTTTTTCTTTCTTTACAATTTTGGGATGCAGTTTCTTCTAACAAACAGACCAAAATACACCCAGAATCTAGTGTATGGCTCTGTTCTCTTCACTGTCTGATCATATTCTCTCCCTTTTTTTTTTTTCTTTTTTTTTTTTGTTAAAGTCTTTTTCAATTTTCATCTTTACAGTTACATTCTATCCTTTCAATGTATTTAATCTTATTTTTGTATGTATATAAGTTCTTCTTTCTTTACAAGTTTGGGATGTATTTTATTCTAATAAACTGACCAAAATATACTCAGGATATAGTATAATGCTCTCTTCTGTTCACCTATCTGCTTATATACCTTCTTTTACTTTTCCCCTTTTGGTTTGTTTTGGTCTTTTAACTTTCATTTTTACAGTTACATTCTATCCTTTCATTGTATTTAATTTTATTTTTGTACATATATAAATTTTTCTTTCTTTACAATTTTGGGATCTAGTTTTCTAACAAACAGATCAAAATACACACAGGATCTAGTATACTGCTCTGCTCTGTTCACCTGTCTGATTATATTATTTTTTAAAAATTTTTTTCTTTTTGGTTTTGGGTCTCTTCTGATTTGTTTAGCATATATTTCTCTGGGGTCGTTGTTGCCATTTTAGTATTTTGTTCTCTCGTTCATCTATTCTTCTCTGGACAGAATGACAAGACGGAAAAACTCACCTCAAAAAAAAGAACAAGAGGCAGTACTGACTGCCA